CCCCCCCCCCTTTCCTCCCTCCCAACACATTAGAGAGAGAGACTCAAATGAAAATGAAATTAATTATAAACAACACAACAAAGGATCTAAATTGATTATCAAGATTTGCATCCTCACCTTCTTAAAACAATGAGTCAGGCAAAAAAAATATCAAGAGACATCATTTTTACAATACAAGTAAATTGTCTCTTCTTTTATTAAAAAAAGAAAATAAAAAGAATAAATAAATAACAAGACGAATCTTTCAAAAAGATATATACACTTTCTGAAAAACAATTTGTTATGCTTTATATTTGTCTATGATAATGTGCCTCAGTGCCTCACAAAAAAACAGACAGGCATTACTTCCCTAAGACCTTTTGTCATACAATTTACAGTCTACCATCATTTAATAGAGCAGAAGCATCCCCTGGGCATGGAGTCCACTTGTCTCACATTCATGATTAAGTCAACAAAAACACACCGTTTACGTTTTCCATGCTAACAGTGACAATGAAAGTTACATAACTGACCATTCACAAAGGAAACATATTATACCAATTCCCCACTCTGAACAAATGAACAGAAGACAGTAAAACAAACTTTTCTGGGGAAGAGAAAGGAAAATAAGATATTTACATCAATTTTAACACACCCACAGCATTACTACTCTTAGCTTAGGTGCTTAGAAAAGCAAGGAAGAGAAAGAAGAGTCTTTCAGTTGAGAGTGAATTCATGGTAATGGCTTCTTACAAGGACATGGCTAGCTTATTTTTAGTCTCTGAGCAAAGAATAACTTTTCAGAGAAAATAGATTTTACACTTTCCAATGAACAGATGTAAATGCAATGAGTCATGGATAAAGTGAGTTTAGTTCATCAGATTTGATAATCCAAACGCACACTTAGTTCTTGACTTTAGAAATCGTGATTTCCCTTTGTACATTTCCAAACGAATGATGCTTTCTAAAATCACTTATTGAAATAACAAGCAAACATAATATCATAGACTAAATTACAGCCACATTTGTCCACAATTTTTCATGATACCAGGAATCACCATTCGCCACAAAACCACAACCACAATTAAAACCTTAGAGCAAGGCAAAAGTTCATCAGAGAAAATGGCACACACCTGTGATTCCCTACAGAAATCCGGGTTGGAAAACCAAGTCTCGTCAACGACTACATCGGGAGTTCGAGGCTTTCCATTGTATGAAACTGCAGCAATAGAAGAAGTTAAAACAACGCGTTTCAGCGTCGGTGACTTCACACACGACTTCAGAACATTGAGAGTTCCCTTCACAGCTGGGTCTAACAATTCAGCCTGAAATTAAAAATAAAAAGTAAATAAATAACTAGCTACACCATATGAAAAAAGATAAAATAAATAAAAAAGCATAAATAGAATTTTAAGTGAAATGCAGAGAAAAAACACCCACTCTACCATTTTGAATGACACTGTCATATTCGTCCTAAACCCTAAACCTAATCACTATCCTTAAAACTAACAAACTATCAAATAAATTACTAGAATCTCAAATAAGTTCTAAATTTAATTACTTGTTGCCATTTTGATTCAAGAATCCATGATATAATTTTTTGAATCAAAGATTAATATGATTCTAACTTTGTAATTTCATAGATTTACTTAATTTTTTTTATATATATATTTCAGGTACTTTCCAAATTAAGAAGAAGAAAAAAGGTGAGAATTTGAGAGTGTTTGCTCGAAATGCAAAGGGGAACCAACCTGGGGGTCCTTGACATCATGATAAAAGGGGGAAGCAGTGTGAAAGACGGCATGACAACCTTGAACGACAGAGTCGAAGGAGCCTTCTTCTAGAAGATTCGCAGTGCAGAGGTGGAGTCTCTCCTTAGCACCTTCGAGGCTAACCAAGTGGTGTGTCTTTTGGGGATCATCTGCACACCAAACAGTGTTCGATCTTTTGATTATTGGAACAATGCACGAGAGGAAGCATAACGGCCCCGAAGACAAAAGTTACAAAAGAAAAAATGACGGTCACAAACTTAAGTTGCGAACAGTGGCCTTAACGGTGTAACCGCCACGGAGGAGAAACTTGACGATCCATGAAGCGATGTAACCGGAAGCACCGGTCACGCAAACCACCTGTCCAGCGCCTCCGCTCATTCTCGATGACCTGCTTCTTCTTGCTCCTGTTCTGTGGTGTGGCTACGGGGGATTGCGCGTCTTTCGTGGACTCGGTTTTACTACTTATAATAACGTTTGACCCACTTTTTTTTCTTCTTCTGAAATAACTCTAGCGTAGACCTACTCGCTGCATCAGCAAACTTAATTAATACTAGTAAAAAAAATAAAAATTGCTGCAAAATATGTGAAAATTAAAATAAGGAGAATGTACCATAATTTATTCTTATTTTTATGCTTAAATTTTAATTTGATTAGAAATGGTTAAAATAATTATATTAAGTAAAAAGAATATGTGTTGCATTGTATATCAAATTTGTTGCCAAAATAAAATTATTTCGCTTAAAAACATTTTGATCTCTTAAGTGTCGTAATTTATAGATATTTTCATTTTCAACCAGTAACAAATACAAAGAACATGAGCATTAAGCTCAACCTAGTCGATGATGCAAGAATCAACAAAGAGACATACAAAAAGAGAAATGCTCACCATTACAACTCTAAACTAAAACCTAGATCTTTCCACCTAGGTGCCCTTGTCTTAAAAGCCACACTTGAAACATGACAAAACAAACAAGCACGCAAACTCGTCCCAACTAGGATGACCCTTTTTACATCACCAAAAATTTAAGCAATGGTGCATACCAACTCAAAGAACTAAAAGGCAAACCAATCCCTAGGACATGGAACATAACCCATTTAAAGCACTGCTTCGACTAGATTTATATAGCCAAGTTATGTACTATTTTTCCTATCTTGGTCTTTTTTCCATAAGAAAAGGTTCTTGGCTAAGAAGGTTTTAATAAGTCACCCCAAAGGCATGTAAAGAATCTCAAACAATCCATAAAATAAATCTTTCCATTCTTTTATAGTAATTTCTATACAATAATCCTCACGTCGCCCTCAACACAAACATAAATTTTGGAGTTCGTACTCGATTATTGGTTTCCAAGCTCTCGCACCTTAGCAAATTAACACAAAATTTTGAGTTTGTAGGCAATCTTGAGCTTCCAAGCTCTCACACCTTAGCAAATAAACGCAAACTTCCAAGTTCATACACGATTCTAAGCTTCGATGCTCTCGCATCTTAACAAATGAACACAAACTTTCGGGTTCGTATGCAATTTTGAGCTTCCAAGCTCTTGCACCATAGCAAATTAACATGGACTTCTAAGTTCTTATATAATTCCGAGCTTTTGAGTTTTTGCATCTTAGCAAATGAACACAAACTTCAGAGTTCATACGCTAATCTTAGCTTTCAAGCTCTCACACCTTAGTGAATTAACACAAACTTTTGAGTTTGTACGCAATTTTGAGCTTGCAAGCTCTCGCTCCTTATCAAATGAGTAGGAACTTTCAAGTTTGATGATTTTAAGCTTCCAAGCTCTTGTGCCTTATAAAATTAACATGAACTTTTGACTTCATACAAGATTTTGAGCTTTTAAGGTCTCGCATCTTAGCAAATGAATATGAACTTTTGAATTTATATGCAATTTTGAGTTTCCAAGCTCTTGCACCTTAGGAAATGAATACAAACATTTGAGTTCATACGTGATTCTGAGCTTCCAAGTTCTTGAGCCTTAACAAATTAACACAAACAATCCATGCTTAACTACAAAACCAAACATCATCCAAATGCAAAATGATAAAAAAAATGAAATACATTGTATACCCCTAATTTCCTCGAGTCCCCCTAATAGCAACATCACCATAATCTTTGACCTCTTCAAAAGCCTGGTTCACAACAACAAGATTTCCCTCAGTAGCAACCAAAGCCTCGATAGCTTTTACAATTGGCTTACCAACACTCCAACACCCTCAAAGGCCATAAACACATTTTCCCATTCATCATACATTCTTTTATATCATCCTCGTCAGGAAGGTCAGCCTCATTCATAAGCTTCTCATCAATATGTCAAAATTGACAGTTAACATACTACACAGAAAATCTAAAGCATGAAACACCACTTGCTAAACAACCTCTAAAAACTGCAAGCGTGGGCCTTAGACATGGCCTTTTCTGATGTTGTCACAAGAACCTAGTAATCGCTACTCTATGCCAAAAAAAGTGCCTACTCAAATGACAAATTACCCTTATCCTTAACAAACTTATTGCACTTTTGCAATAGTGCCATTCTCAATAGTAAGCTTTATTACCTGGGCGACAAGGGCATCTCCCCTCCATCTTAAAGATCACCTCTCATTAATTAACCTCTCCTTTTCACTATCGAGACATGTGCACGTGACAATTGGCATAGCCCTCCTCGGCCGATTAAAATCCAACTTGGAATGCAACATTCTAATTTTTGTAGTTAGAATCCTTATCTCCTTAAGCAAAACTATTACTACTCAGCCCAACAATTGACTCCTAACCACCGTCTTCAACTTTAGACTACGACTCACCTTGCTTCCACATATCATTTCTCCAACCAACCTACACAAAGAACATGTTATGTCATAAAAATCCCAAGACACAAATACGCATGACAATCCTCGAGCCAACAACGGCCCGTACACACAACAAGAACCTTTGCTGAAAGGATCCATTAGCAAAATCAATCCAAGCAAACAAAAAAAAGAAACAAAAAATGACAAAGAATTCCACACCTCATTCTCTTTTTACAAAAACAAATAGAGGAAAGGAAGAATACATATTGTTCTTACCGGAATTTGTCGTAGGGACGATCTTCCAAGTAAGATTGGTGGGGTTGTGAGAAAAGATTTGAAGCTTTGGAAAGCCTTTTTGCACTGATCTATCCACAGGAAACCCTTTGGTTTTTTTAACAGGGTGAAGATTGGTCCTGCCTTCTCCGCGAGTTTGGGGATGAATCGGGACAGTGATACTAACCGTCCGGCTAGGCGTTGGACCTCTTTCACCGTTTGTGGGCTCTGCATCTGGATGATGGCTTTACATTTCTCGGGGTTAACCTCGATCCCTCTGCTCGTAATCATGAAGCCGAGGAACTTACCTCCTTGGACACCGAAGACGCACTTCTCCGGATTGAGGCGCATGTTATGCTTCCTGACCTGGGCGAATACTTCGGCGATGTCGGTAGCGTGGTCTATTGCCGAGGTGGTTTTGACTACCATGTCGTCGACATAAACTTCCATATTTCTCCCGATCTGTTGATGGAAAACCTTATCCATCAGTCGCTGGTAGGTTGCCCCTGCGTTTTTGAGGCCGAAAGGCATCACTCGGTAGTAGTAGTTGGCGTGGTCGGTGATGAAGGATGTATGTACTTTATCAGGTGGGTACATCATTATCTGGTTGTAACCCGAGTAGGCGTCGAGGAAACTGAGGAGGGCGTGCCCGGAGGCTCCGTCGACTAACCTGTCAATGCTCGGCAAGGGGTATGAGTCCTTGGGGCATGCTTTGTTTAGGTCGGTATAGTCGACGCACATACGCCACTTCCCCGAATTCTTCTTTACCAGGACCACGTTTGCCAGCCACGTGGTGTACCTGACTTCACGGATGAAGCCGGCGTTGAGTAGTTTCTGTGTTTCGGCGACAATGGCTTCCCGTCTTTCGCCGCCGACCTTCCTCTTCCTCTGGCGACTGCTTTTGCCTCCTTGTGTATCGCTAGCCTGTGGCAGATGAAATCTGCGTCTATGCCTGGCATGTCAGCGCTGGACCAGGCGAAGAGGTCGGCGTTTTTGAGGATTTCTGTTTCGAGTTGTTGCCGCAGCTTTGGGGTCAACTGTTTGTTGATCTTCGTGGTTTGCCCGGGGAGTTTCCCGATCTGGAGGTCATCGAGCTCGTCAACGGGGCTGGGCCGTTCGTCGTGAGCATCGGATCTCGGATCAAGGTCGGAGACTTCTTCGTGGCTGGTGTGAGCCGCAGTGGTGGTGTTGCTCTTGCATTGTTCACCGAGTGGGGCAACTTTCAGGCTTTCAGTATAGCATTGTTGTGCCACCTTTTGGTTTGCTTTGACGGAGATAATCTTCCCATCATGTCCTGGGAACTTCATGGTGAGGTGCGGGGTAGACACCACCGCTCCGAGCTGATTCAAGGTTGGCCTGCCGATGATGATGTTATAGGAGGTGTCGGCTTCCACGAGGAGGTACCGAACCATGACCCGCCTTGAATCTGGAGGTGCTCCGAAAGTGGTTAGTAAGTCCACGTATCCCCGGGTGTGAACGCTCCTTCCTACAAAACCGACTAGGGGTTCTGTGTGAGGTTGTATGAGAGAGTGGGGAATGTCTAACCTGAGGAACGTTGGCCAATATAGGATGTCGGCCGAGCTCCCTTGGTCGACCAGGGTCTTGTGAACCTCCCAATTAGCTAACGCCACGGCTATAACCATGGGGTCATCCTGGTTGGGGTTGACCCCGGCATAGTCGTTGTCGGTGAAAGTGATCGTCGGCGAGCTCTGATGTGAAGTAGAGGTAGTGAAGTGTACGCAGTTGACGTTGCGCAGGTGTTTTTTTCGGGCCGAGCTGTTGGCGCCCCCTCCTGCGAAACCTCCTGCGATTGTACTGACTACTCCCGCAGGGGAGTTGATTTTGCTTCCTGGTTTACCTCGCCTCGCATTGCTCCACCGGGGTTGAGTTGAGAGCCGGAGGGGTGATCAGAGTGTTGCTGCTGGGGTTAAGCGCGAACCCTCTTGTTTTTCGTGCGCAGAGCCGCTAGGTCAACTTCGTTAGTGGTTCGTATTGCGGCCAGGTCGGCTTCGTGCTTGGCACGCATGTTGCGCAGGTCAATGTCATGTTGCTCAGGTCAATGTCATGTTGCTGGCGCATCTGTTCGACTTGGTCGATCAGCCTTCTCAAGGTTGCAGCGTCGCCGTCCATGGTGACTGAGTGTTCAGCGTCCTTTGTTGAACGTCTGTTGTGGCTTCTGGTGAATACCATACGGGTGGCCGATAAGAGCTGTCTCGATCGGCCCCACGGTGGGCGCCAAATGTTCTTACCGGAATTTGTCGTAGGGACGATCTTCCAAGTAAGATTGGTGAGCCTCCTTCGCTGGTACGCTGACCCGCCCAATAGCCCGAGCCAGCACCTCGCCGGGTTGAACGACTGGCTCAACAGCCGGCGCCACCTCTTCGGCAGCCACACGATTGACCCCCTCCGACCGCGGACTCCCTGCAAGGTCCACCACCCCAGC